GTTGTTTTTAGGCTACAGAAACTGGAGTTGGGAGTTGCTGAGTTTTGAGCCACATAGGTTGTAATTGATTATGAAGGTCATTGGGATAAGTTGTGATGATGTTCATAGGCTGCAAGTGCCAAAGTTGGGAGTTGTACGAGTTGTGGACCATGTAGGTCATATTTGGCCAAGTGAGTCGTAGTGGTAATTTATGATGATGTTCATAAGTCATGGGGCCTGGAGTTGGGAGCTACATGAACTGTGTAGACTATGTTGGTCGTAGTGGTCAGCTGTGATGATGTACGTAGGCCGTAGGAGTCAGAGTCAGAAGTTGCATGAGATATGAGCAGCATATGTTGTAGTTGATCGTGTAGGTCATAATGGTGAGCTATGATAATTTATGTAGGTCATAATAGTTGCAGTCGAGAGCTACACAAGTTGTAGACTATGTAGGCCATAATAGTGAGCTATGATGATGTTCGTAGGTCACATAGGCTAGAGTTGAGAGCTGCACAAACCGTAGACCAAGTAGGTGTAGGCTAGAAGGCGAGAGTTAGAAGCTCCATTTAACATGGACCGGGTATGTCGTAGTTTGTCATGTGGGCCACAATTACGAGCTATGATCATGTCATATGGTTGTAAAGGTCAGAGTCGAGAGTTGCACGAGCTATGAACCACGTAAGTCGTAGTTGGTCGCGTAAACCATATTGGTGGGTTGTGATGATGTCTATGGGTTGCAAATGCCAGAGTTGAGAGATGCACAAGCTTTGGGCCACATAGATCGTAGTTGGTCACATAGGCCTTAGTGGTGAGCTATGATGGTGTCCGTAGACCTTGGAGACCAAAATTAAGAGATGAACAAGCTGTGAGCCACATATGTTGTAATTGGTCACATAGGATGTAATGGTGAACTGTATTGATGTCTATAGATTGCACGGGTTAGAGTTAGAAGCTGCATGAGTCATGGAACATGTAGCCATAGTTGTTCACGTAAGCCAAAGCAGTGAGCTAAAATAAGAGAGTTTTATGAGTCCCAAGAAAGTCACAATCATCGGGCTGCAATGTTACACCTTGTTTGGGAGGCATCCTTGCATCGTATGTGGGGTGCATTGTTACACCATTTTCTGGAGGCATCATCACACTATATGTGTTGTTGCACCTTCTTCGGTAGGCGTGTTTGCACCGTAAGTGGGGTGCCTTGTTACACCGTCTTTGGGAGGCACCGTTGCACTATATGTGGGGTGCATTGTTACACTGTTTTTAGAAGGCATTGTCTTACTATATGTGAAGTGCATTATTACACTGTCATTAGGGCGTGTCGTTGCGCTGTATTTGGGATACATTGTTGCACCATCTTTGAGAACCATATCACACCGTATATAGGGTGTGTTGTTATATCGTCATAGGGGTGTGTCGTTGCAGCATATTCAGAATGCATTGTTACACTGCCTTTGAAAGACACTGTCAAATTGTATGTGGGGCGTGTTATTACGTCATCATCAGGATGTTTCGTTGCATCTTATGTATGGTGCATCGTCACACTATCATTGGGAGGCATCATCACACAATATATAGGATGTGTTGTTCTACCATCATTGGGGCGTATTGTTGCATCGAGCACCTTGTTACATCATATTCGGTAGGCATCCTTGTATCGTATGTGGGCGTGTTGTTACACTATCATTTGGGTGTGTTGTTGCACTGTATTTGTGGTGCATTGTTACACGGTATACTAGACGACTTATTCCTCTGTTGAATGCTCTATTGTTCCGCAACATATGTTGTGATTTCACAATGCACAGTGTGACTCCACGAGGAACTTTGTTTCAAGGAGCAGGTGGTGGCAGATGGTGTCTGATAGTAATAGGCATGTGGTGGTCAGAGTTGCCCGAAAGCGGCGACCTATCATTGGGTCCATCTTGTTGAGTTAGTCAATTTCACTGTAAGTTTGCTGAAATCGGAATTTTGGATGACTTCTAATCATTGATCGAACATTACTTCCTAAAAAATGCTCCAAAATTCATGTTAATCTTCCCGAGAATTGTGTCGAATAATGAAAATTTGTTGATGACATATCAGAGCACGCTTAGTTAATAGAAGTTAACAAAAATTACATTTAAAAACTAATGCAATTTATGAAAATTGTAGTAGTTAAAAACAAACATTAATTTTAAATCATAAAAATATTTTTAAAAATGTCTTAAAAGTCTTACATTTTATTTTTAAAATCGATCTACTCTAGCATGAATATCCATATAATATTTAATATAAATATTTATGAGTTAAACTAAGAAAAATCCAATCAATGATTTCAACAAATTTATAATTAAAGTAACATCTTCGATAGTATAAACTACCAAAAAGTGAAACTGATCAATATGATGTTAAACGAGCTCAAATTAAACACTTGAATATAATTCAAAGCATCATAACATGAATTGAAGCTCCAAATAATCTTCGGTTTCAGGTGCTTCACTCAAAATGAATATGCTAATAAGATAAATTTAAAAAGCCTAAATTTATTCTATTTTTGGATAATTTAATATTTAAATATTTAAAGAATAATTTAAATAATTTAAATACATAAATTATGATCTACGAAATTAATATAAACATACAATAAAATATTTTAAGTTGTTTGTCTAAAATATATTAAAATGCCACTCTCATAAACTATGAATGTACCCTGATTTCACCGCATGAATGGACCCAAACTTATTTAAAATTAGGGTCATATTATTTTTTTTCAAAGGGAAAGTCAAAAAAAAAGGAAAAAAAAAAAAAACCAATGATGTGTTCTTTTTCATTTTTTAAATTTCTCAATTAAAAAATAAAATTTGAAAGGTGTGCTCTTTTAGGGGCATTTCGATATATACCATTTAATTATAATATATTTACATATCTAACACCTCAAATTTTATATAAAGATGGATAGTACCTAAATCTTTAATATCACATAAAAAATATTATTATTAACGTGTTTAGAGAACTGGATCGGACCGACTGGTTCGACCCTGAACCAATGGTTGGTCCGGTCCGAGATATATAAATGACCATTTTTGTCCTAGAATCATTGCGAACAGATCAGCGAATCAACCCGCAAATAAGAGAATCGATTTAACCTTTTTAAGAAATTGTATGTATTATTTTATTTTTTATCATCTTGGTTATAGTTCCCACGCGCGACCTTATAATTTAAGAAAAACAAAAGCATTGTCTCGCCCGTATTCCAAATCATGCTTACATATGCAGAACAATTTGGCTTTTTAACCCTCCTGAAATATTAGTTTTGCCTCTCTTGTAATATTAATTTGTCATTCATTATCCTAATCCACCTCACATTAGATCTAGGGAGACAGTTTGTCCCTAAGAGAAAAGCCGATTCTGCCCCTATAAGTATATTATATATAGAGAGTGTGAATTCGGGGGTAGAGAATAGAAATGAGGTTAGAGAGAGAGAGAGAGAGAAAGGGAGAGAGAGAAATATTACGGAATTTTTTTGGGAAAAGAATGGTTTTTTTTTTTTTTTTTTTTTTTTTTTTTTTAGTTTATTTAGAATCTTGGTTTGGGACAAGGAATACAAAACACTAAGAAACTAGGGTTTGTCTAGCTCTAATACAAGATAATACCGTTCTAGATCTCTTAAAAAGTGTTTAGGAAGCGAGTTTTGTAGGGAGGTGATTGTGGGATAACAAGAGAAAGACAATATGCAATTTCGACGATATTTGGACATGGATAAGCATCGTTTAGTGGTTGTCCCGGCTAAAAAAAACAAGGAAAGCTTTGAAACGATAGGCATGGAGCTTAAAGAGGTTCACCACATATTTTTGCACAAGCTACTAACACACCACTTGCAAAAAAAAGAGAATACAACACCCTTAAGGTAGAAATGGAGATTACGATATCCAAAATACTCAAAACAAAACAAAAGTCTATAAAACAATAAAGATCTATATAATTCTCTCAAAGAAAAAACATAACTAAAAATAGAAAAAATAGGAATGAAATAAAAAAGGAAAAAAAGGTATGCCGGAATTTGGAAATCGACGCTCCCCCCGTCTGAGCCACAATTCCGCATATTGTGGTATTACCGCGCTCAAGATTGCGGTATCGCTCACAGGACTGTAGCGGGATGCTCTCGGAATATAACGGGACACTCCTACGTTAGTTAGTTTCCTTATACTCCTTGTAGTCCTAAGTTATGAATCCATAACTCTTATATATTATTTAGTCAAAATTTTTCCCGAGATCACCATATAATTTCGCAAAAAATGAAACCTATTCAAATGATACAATCCAATGGTGAAGGTAAATAAGTAAATTTCTTAACATATGCATTCTTTGCAACAAGATCATGACCTACTATGAAATTAAGTAAAATTTTCATCTTTTTTTATTAACTACTTCATGCAAGCCAATGAACATACCCATACCCCACCTCTATTACAATATATAGATCCATTTAAACTACCCACAATAATTATCATTCTTCACCCTCAAGTGTGCATATAATAGCCACTCAAAAATATTTTATTTATTTTATTTACTTATTTATTTATATTATTATATTTTATTTTATAATTTAAATTATATTTAATTAGTTATTATATTTATTAATTATTACGTCATCCGATTCAACTTCGATCAAATTCATAAATCTTGAACCTTTCATTCTTATGATTGATGATCGATCCCGGTTTTCAAAATCTTAATTATTATTACAATTTGTAAGGAGAAATACATATTTTTAATGCAAACTTTATGATACTAAATTATTATAAATTTAAATATTAATTTTTTTATGTTGGACATGAAAATTCACAAGAATTATGTGATATGCGTATGATTTTCTTACTAGATATTTTGAAAATATGTGGGGCCAGTTTCACAGGATGTCATTAAAATGAAGAAAAAGATGGCAATTCGTCTCTATTCATTTTTTTTAATAAACACTTATGTTTTAAAATAAATAAAAAAAAATGAAAAAAACACACGCCCTTAATTTACGCATATTTTACTCCAAACCAAAATGCCCGGCCCGAACTAGCCGCGCATCCTTTTTTTTTTTTTTCTGTAGCTTTTGTTTTTCTGTCCCAGGACTGAAGCGGAGAATTACAGCGCAGGGGATGCTTTCCCTTACCTCGATGGCGTCTTCTTCCATGTAAAGTGCTCATCCTTGCCTTTTGTCACGAAGTTCCACAGTTTCTCTTCAATTATTCTTTGCTCTTTTGCTTATTTTGTTTTTTAATTTCAAACAATTTGAACTCATGAAGCTTATAATGTCGCTGTTCGGTGCTTGAAATCCATTCCGGAATCGACGTCATAAGTTTTTGTATGGGCACTGGCTCTGCTTGTTTGCTTTCGTTGCTAATCTTTAGAACAGAGTCGTCTGTAGCTCGGTGTACTTACATATTTGCATCAATATAGGATTTTTTTTTTTTTATTTTATCCCGTTTCCCGGATGCCTATCTTGGCGATAGGGCAATTGGGAAGTGATAATTCCTTATGGCTTTGTAATCGCATCCTTTTTTGTCTCAACTCGCTGGCTCTATGTTGAAATTTACTAATTCTTCAAGGTAGGGAGGAAAAAATTGGTGCATCATGCATCTTTTAGGTGCTGTTTTGTAGCGCTATTGATACTGTTATAGGGCTCATGGAAGGTGTGGTAGAACACCTAAAGGTGTAACAGAACACCTAAAGGCGTTAAGGGAAGTTGTAGGATGGGTAAGGGGTGTGGTAGGAAGGATGACAGTTAAACATTGGCGTGCACGGTGGCTGGACAGCGAGCTGGTGGTGGGAAAGCAATGGTTTCTGGTTGGAAATAGCAGGCGACAGCGAGCTGGATGCCTGCCTGGTTTAAAACTGCAAGCGAATAAGCGAGGGTGATCCATCACCTATTCCTAGGGAAGTCCACAGACGCAACATTTGTAGAAAGAATATGCTACAACACTCCAGAGATCAAAATCAGAAAAAAATTTCTCAAATTCATAAAATCAGCAAAAATTGAAATCCAAATAGCCATAATACAATATATCTAAAAGTCTCTTATACTGGAGTTAACCCAAATTACGACCGAACGAAAAATTTTATTTGTGAATTCAAAAGTGATTATGACGGATTCTCAACATAAAACAAGACAAACACATAAAAAACAAGTAACGATGACGACGATGTTGCAAAATAAACTTGAAAACGACATGAAACACATAAATGGCTCCTTAGAGGAGGGCGACAGGCCACAGAAGGAAGGAAGGAAGCGACGACGGTGCTAGAGGGTGGATGGCAATCTGTGGCAGCGACGCTGGATGGCGTAGAAGGGTTGTTGGTGTGGTGGGAGGAGGCTGGCGGCAAGTGTCTGTGGCTTAGAAGTGAGTAGGAGAGGTGGCGAGAGACTGGACAGCTGCAGGAAGTATCGGCGGGGGCGGGGGAGGGGGAGTGCTGGACAACAGGAGGGATCGGTGCCTGGGGCTGCACAACACAAAGAACATGCCCGAGAGGCGCTGACAGCAGCAAGAACTGGCATAGAAGGGCTGGTGGCAGCAAGGACATGCTCTGAGGGGGCTTGTGTCAGCAGGAGCAGGAATAGAAGGGGGCTGGAAGGATAACAACAGGAAGAGGGGCGGAAGGCTTGTGTGGTGTCTCGAAGGACCTGGAGGGTTGGACCCAGGCTGGATGGTAGCGTTATACTGGAAGGCTGGGGAGTAGGGGAGATGGCAGCGAGCAGGTGGAGGGGGATGTGGAAGGATAACTTTCTCCGTAGGATCGAGTTATAGCTGGAGTACCCCTCAAACCGTTGGAGAAAATCAACTCCTTGGACGAGTTGCAGCTAGAGCACCTCCTCACCTTTGGATACAATCCTAGAAGGGAAAACAACTGTCGACAGCAACCTGGACAAAAATTTGAAATTAGAAAGACCAAAAGAACATGTTCGAAAGGCACTGACAACAGCAAGAACTGGCCTAGAAGAGCTAGCGACAACAAGGACGGGATCTGAGGGGCTTGTGTCAGCGGGAACAAGAATAGAAGATGGCTGGAAGCACGGATAACAACAAGAAGAGGGGCGGAAGGCTTCTGTGGTGTCTCGAAGGAGCCCGGAGGGTTGGATGGTAGCGTAATACTGGAAGGTTGGGGCATAGGGGAGATGGCAGCGAGCAGGTGGATGCGGATGTGGAATGATAACTTTCCCCGTATGATTGAGTTATAGCTGGAGTACCCCTCGAACCGTTGGAGAAAATCAACACCTAGGACGACTTGCAGCTAGAGCACCTCCTCGTTGTTGGATGCAACCCTAGAAGGGAAAAAAGCTGTTGACGACAAGCTGGACAAAAATTTGAAATCAGGAAGACCAAACACTGCACCCAAAGACAACAAACAATATATTTATAATAGATATTAGTAGTTAGAATAGGAAGGAAATATAATTAGGAAGGGAATAGAAAAAGGCAAGGAAGGAATAGAAATAGAAAAGGAAGAGAAATATGTAAGGACTAGAAATAGGAAAGGAAGAGAAATAGGCAAGGACTATAAATAGGAAAGGAATGGGTGGCTACAAATTTAGAAAGAGAGGATTCTCTTTTTTTGGGTGTCAGCGGAACTGTAGCAACTATAGTACCACGTCTCGGTAAGCTCCTGCATCAGTCTCTTAATAGAAAATAATTTAATTATAAAATATGAAACCGGGAAAGAACCATAAAAGGAAGAAACTAAAGACGGAAACTTGCTAAAAATAAAAGAGAAAAAAAAAGGAAAATCGTCTTGTTATTCCCACGATTTCGGGAGTTGCAAGTTGTGGCTTGTGATATCATGGCAACTTCCTCATCCCACGTTAGCCTTTCTAATAATATTACTCTCAATTTATAGAGTTAGGGTAAATCCAACCAAATAGTTAAATGTGCACGCATAAATTCCGAGTTTCTTCTTGTTTTGCCTATAACTCTGAATCACTACATTCAATAGTTTGACGGATTTAATAAATCCGGATTCACAAGATCCAATTCACGTTAAATCTTGCTGGCAAACAAGCAACCCTCTAAAGTTCTCTTGTTTATACCGACCTTATGCTATTAAACTAACTAAAATGGATTTCATGTTTGGTAGAAAACTCTTAGATTGAGCTAGTGATCAACAAGATTAAATTTCATGAAGCATCAAATTGTTGACTTTGTATTCTACAAAATCATGTATAGACATGCCAATACTTATTAACTTGAAAATCTGCAAAAACAAAATAAGTAGACTTTTATTATATTCATGCCGTTTCTTTTTGGAGTACACTCAATGGTGCTGAGAGCTGAATCTATTATTTCGAACTTTATGACTTGGGGGCATTACCATCAGAATGCTAGTACTCATTGATGGATCATTCTCTCAATTGATTCATATTTTGTATCTTTTTTTTTAATTGATCCATTCTTGCGGTATTTGAAGAGGGTAACTTCCCTTCTATAGCATATTTTTTTTCTTAGCTCAATGCATTTTAAGTATGATGTTTAGATGGCTCTAGATTCATGACATGACATTCAAGGTTCGAATAAATTAACTGAAAGGGAGGGGAGTGATCGCCGCGTCAAAGACCTAGACAAGTAACAGTTCTTGGTAGGCTTTTATGATGATAGGCTTTTAGGAGATGAGAGGCAGGACGGGGCAGGGTGGGGGTGGAGAAGGGGGAAGATGGGTAAATTTGTGGGGTTTATACTACTATGTGAAAAGCTATAACAAAGCAAATATTACATTAGGTGCGGGCGAAATTGTTATATTTGGTGTTAGAGTTTGACTTCCAGTTTAAATCCTAAGGTGATAGTTTAAAGAGGGTGGGGGTGATTGCGAGAGCAAAAGTCTGGACAGGAAGTAGCTTTTTTTAGGATTTTATGATAACTGAGTTTTTGAAAAAAAGTGAATCAAAGCCCAATTGAGATGGGAGAAAAAATAATGGGGTTTGACCAAGTGCATGTGGTGCAGTAGTTAGATTTCTTTGGGAACTCTATAGTTAAGTGTGCTCATTTTCGCACTCTCAGAATGGGTGCTCACTTTCAAAATTGTATAAAGAAGCATAAAATTATGAGGTTTATATTTTTCTGAGGCATACTATATTAAAGTGTATACCTCATCTTGTATGTGCTGCGTCATTCCACATAACTTTATATTCATTTCATGCATCTATGCTATTTTTATCAGTTTTTGTAAAAAAAAAATATTTTTATTCAATATCTAGTATTTGTTTTAGTTTCTGCCTGTTAGCTTTGCTGTTGGGTTTGAGGTAGTCCATAGTGGTAACCAGTCTTTTGTGTTCTCTATAAGGACATTTGCATACATAGTACACAATTCTTATGTATTTACATATCTCACACCTAAGCTTTCATTTTTACGAACGTAACACTTTTGTGCTTTAAACCTATGCATGAAAAGGCACATTTTACTTTTAAAATGTGAAATACACCTTTTCATGCAGTATTACCTTCTCTATATTGTATTGTGTAGTCCATTTGATTTCGAATTTATGTGCTTTTTATCTTTCTTCAGAAGACTAATTCATCTTGTTGATTGGCATTTTCAAATATCTGAGCACGGACCACCTAAAGGTTACATTGGACGAAAGCCAGGTTGGCATTCTTTTGCTTCATAAACTATAATTTTCATTCTACGTTGTTTTACAGGGGCATTAAGTATCAAGGGTAATCATAAGAAATAAATTGGTTATAAACTTATCATAGCATTAGACTTAGTTATTCATATGGGGAGTAATTCATTTATGAGATTGTAACATTAGTCGGTAGGTTTAATTGGGAGAAAAAACCTAGCTACAAAACTGATAATAAGGCTAGTAACTTTAATTAAAGAACACTTTGGGGCATTTTAAAGGATCATTCATACCCCTAGCATAGCACAACCAATCAGTAGACATACGCACCTACAATTATCATTGGTGTAGGGATCCTATTCTTATGTGGCTATTGCTTGTATTTTCAGACAATAGCTTGAATATGCACAATTAATTCATTGCCCCAAAGGGTGTTTAAAGTGGGGAAAAATAAAAACCATAGTTAATTTTTAAAGTATATTTAGTATTATTCCTCGAGAATGAAGTACATATTATCTTTAAGGAAGATTTACTTATACACCACTTAATTCCTATGTATTTACATGTCTAACACCTATACTTCAATTTTTTCTTTTATGCCATCTTACATATGCATAAAAAGGCGTATTTCATTTTTTTGAAGTTAAAATGGTGGCATTTTTGATGTGATATGAAAGATTTAGGTGGTGTAAATGTAAAAAGTAAAGGCGTTTGATGTGTAAACGCATAAGAATTGGGTGGTATATACATGTAAATTCCACTATCTTTAAGCATTTATATTTACAAGCTTGATTGAGATCTTACATAAAGGATGGCTAAGAAAGTCTGGTCTAGGGCAGCAATTGCTTTTGGGATTTACATGAATCAGAAATTTAATTTCTTTAACTAAATTGGCTCATCTTTCTATACGTAAGTGCGGGCCTAGAGCATGATTAGGTGCTTTCATTACGATTTGTGTTCGTGAATTTGAATTATGAAACAAGTTTTTCTCCATTAAAAGGGCAAGATTGCATATATATCAAGCTCTTCCCAAAAATTTAATGCTAGGTTACTTCACAACTAAATTTGACTAATTTTTTTTACTCGAGGATGAGCCTAGAGCTTCATTAGCTGTCCATGGCTTCATGGCCTCACCTTTAGAATGTAAGGCCCGAACATAAAAGTGGATATTTTAGTCACTGTAAATATATTTTATGCTGACAAGGATAACTGCTCTAGCATATAGATCTAGTCCATAAAATTCCAAATAAAAATAACTAATGTCGTGGGCAAGTAAATTTTATTGGTCTATTCTTCTAACGATTCATTGAAAAACTCTCAGGCCAACATCTAGTTGAAAAACCATATTTTTTGGATGTTCTCACCTATAAGAGACGTTGTTAAAGCTGGGCGGGACCTGTTGATTCGACCAAGAACAGGTCATATTGCCTGTCCAATTAGCCTGTGAGAACATTTGCCCCAACATCAAACTGGCGATTCGACCGGTGAATTGTTAAACAAGTCCGATTTTGTAAATCCGTCCAGTTCATTTTGCATGAATATAATCACCGTGAATCAGTGATATAGTAGCTACAAACAAACCAAGCATGTTAAGCTTAAAATATAGTATTTTAATTTCTTTTAAATATTTTAAAAATTCTATACATGATGGAAAAACATGTTTAACAAACAAACTGAATAACCAACATGCCTAGCGACTAAGTGAGCTACTAGCTCCAACTATGAATCTCTTTCTTTTCAATTCAATTTTTACAATATTAACACTTTTATATTGTGAGATTAAATGTGCTATGTGAATGACTATAGAAATGGGAGATTGGGCTGGGGTGTGAGAATTGAGGTGTTGAAATAGACAAACATATTATAAAAATATTTATATCTATATATTTATTATTATTATATATAACATGTGACATTATTCTATATTATTTTAATTCATATTAACATGGTTTTAATATTTATTACATCATCGGGTTCAACCTTCGATTAAACCCCTATTCAACTCTAAAATTTTCAATTACTTCTTTTTATTCAATGTCTGGTCCAGTTTTCAAAACCTTGCCTAGAAGTTAAAATTTTGCGTTGCAAACAAAAATTACTTTGAACTCGCACGTTCTAAGCAAATCTTCTCTGTTCAGCAATCTGGAGTGTCCAACTTATATAATGAGAGGGCAAATATAAATATTTCAGAACTTGTTGTAAACTTCAGCCTTTTTTCTTTTTTTTGAATGGCAGAATTTTTTCTTAAAACAGACATCGTGAGCAATGAAGTGATGGAAGGTATCTGATCATGCAAGCAATTTATCTCATCACAATAATAGCACATAAAGTTTTCAAACTTAAGAATTCTATTAGTCTGTTCTTTTAACACTTAGTAAGTATTGATGTTTCTGTATCTGTGAACTATATGAAAAAGGAATCCTAATCAACCCTTGGCCTATTGTATGAACATGTTTTTTTTTAATTTTTAATGTTCTCATTTATTTAAATTCCAGCTTTCTTTCTTTCACAGAGTAGTTATGTCGCCCAATGATATTTTTTTTCTACTCAATAGTTCACACATTTTATTTTATTTTGTAGGAAAAAGAAAGGTTGAAGTTTGTCCACGGAGGGCTAGCTTATGGGATTCATTCAGATCCGGGTAACTGAAAAATGTACATTGACAATTTCATTGTTAATGCAATTCAATGATTGGATAAGAACTGTAATTCCTATTTTTTTCCAGCTTGTTTTTTAGTTCCTGGCTCTACTAAAAAAAAAACAATTTGACCATGTATTTTAGCATTTTACAGGTTATTATTTTGAATTTCAAGAAATTTAAAGGGCACATGTTTAGGTTCTGTTGCCATTTTTAAGAGAAAACTAAAATAAAATAATTTACAATGTTTTATTAGGAACACAGTTTTTCACATTTCCTACACTCTCAAGTGACATTGAAAGAGTTTATATTCTTTAGTGGTACATGTTACTACTTGCCTACCACGCCTTTCCATTCGAGAAGAGAAATAAATTCTTAGTTTTGCCGCTTCATAACAAGACTGACATTTCCAACGTGCTAGAAGCATGCATTCTCTAACTCTTTTCTTAAGACTAGAGAATTAATGCCTTGAAAAATCATAAAATCAAAATGTGTGATTTTAGAAGAAAAAACTCATTTGGTGAAATCTGCTGTTACGCTATAGCAAGAAATGGAGCATGCAAAATGCACTATGACCAAATGTGAATATGGCGGCACGTTTATCATTAACAATAGCAATATAAATTAACGAGCCATCATCTTTGTGTAGGGTAAGCATATATGGGCATAACACCTAATTCTTATTTATTTCCATAACTAACACCTATACTTTGCTTTTTTACATTTATACCAATCAAATTTTTCATATTACAGAAAATACCACTATTTTAAGTTTTTAAAAGTGAAATACACCTTTTCGTGCATAGGTAAGGTACCGTATGTGAAATTTGAAATTTAGGTGTTAGATTTGTAAATACATTCCTCTACTAATTGGTTAGTATAGGAGGTAATGTGCCATCTTATACAATATATGTTAAAGGCAACCAAGCACTCAATATGTGTGTAATTAAATGGTGTCAGTAGTCAATTTAGACATACCTATCTATCAGTGAATAATATTGTTGTGTCATTCTCTCATGTTAAACTGGGATATCAATAGGAGAGACTTCACCAACAGAATGGAGTCCATTGGCCCCTCTCTAGAGTCATCACTCAGAAAAGTAGGCATGCTTGCGAGGTTAGCTTGAATAAGGCATTAATAGATTATCACCGTTATATATATAACCAATCAAGCTCAAGCAAACAATAAGTTATTTTTTGTGGTTTATAAAACTACGTTAGGAAGGTTATCGAATTTGAAGAATGATTTATGTTAATTCTAATGTGTTTTCTTTCACATTGTATTCATTTCTTTATAAATAATGCGGGGCTTTATTGAGAACACACATTATCTTTGCCTTTAGCATTGGATAAATTTTGTTCATACCGTCCTGTCTTGTTGAGATTTTGGGATACCTTTACAGATTCTTGAGGAGGATATCATATTTAAGGTTACTTCTGATGTTGTCATTGGAACGAAGAAAATTTTGGTTGGATTTTAGATATTGAGCGAGTTAATCTGTAAATGAATTATTTTGTCACAAATCCTTTATGAACTTTTTTCTTCAGCTGGTGATCATTATTTGAATCTAAATTGGGTTTGATTTGGCATCCAATTGTTAGTGCTGCAATGCCTGTGAAAATTTTAGTCATGCATTTCTTAGTGTTCTGGGATTTCTATAGTTTTGCAAAGTTGCATACTCCTGTTACTCGTATGATTAAGCTGTTTATTTATGCTTGGGAAAATTTGGGCAATTGGGTTTGCTTTGGACGTCCATGGATTCTGATTTTACTCTTTGTACTTTGGTTTGGTTTTTTTTGGAAATTGTGACTTTAATTTCAGTATGATTATTTGGAAAATGCATGAGCAAATTTCGTCTATTATGAGCTTTGGTTTACTTAATAACAATTCATTTTGGGTGAATTTATGAGCTGTGGGTATTTCAGGGTTTTTATGATATCAAAGATTGATTTAGTCTGGTAAGTAAAGATGTGTGTGTGAATTTAAGCTTATTGCTGATGGTTGTGCTAAAGCTTATTTTGGGGAAGCGGCCTAGGGTGGGCAGGTTTGCATTTTTGAAGCAATATTTTGATTGAAGTTGATGCTTTGGTTGTTGGGAATGTCATCTAAGTAACAAATAACAATTTTTGAAAGGTTTTTATCTCATTATGAAGATTAACCGATTGTTGTCTCACTTTAATTTCTCATTTGGGTATAGTTGGCATGAAGGAAATTTTGGTACTGCTTGACTTTGCTAATGAACGTTGCAATTTGAAAACTCTTAGGTTAAGTCTGCTTCATAAATACACGGTTTACTGATTGGGATTATCAGATTGGGTAGTTGTGACTTCTCTTATTTTACGGGCTCATATTTTTGTGGTCTCGTTTTTTTTTAATTTTGTATTTTTATTCCTCTTTTTATTTTGCGCTCAAGGTACTTTTTTCCATCATGTTGAAGATACCGAGTATTATATCTCTTATTCTTGTGAATAAACTACTGCCGCCTCTACCCACCCATCTAGCGGATTTTTGTTTTTTAAAGTTTTTTGATGTTTCAAGATTAATAACTTCCTTTTCATCAGAAATTGCTCATTTGTTTTATAGTTTGATCGCATTGAAATCAACATTGTATGACTTATCCTAGAATGTCCTACATTTGATTTTGTAGAAAGTTTAATTTTGAACTGTAATGCTATGGCAACGTCACGTAATCATACTATAATAATTGGTTTTATTCCCTGAAAATCAATGAATAAAATGCATATTTTGGAGTCAACCCTCTACAACAATACTAAATCTACTTTTCAACGTGATTGAGGTTATGGTATGCATTCTCCACATTTATATATAGTTTACCACTTTACCATACACTTTAGCTTGTCTCATGCATATATTTGTCTGTATATATAACATCATCACGCAATAGCTTCTTGTGGCGTTTCTAACATACAAAATACCTCCCCTTTTTTCTAAATTTTCAGTTTCTTGAAGAATAATATATCCCAAGTGATTGAGCCCCCTTCAAGCGTAGCAGAGGAGGAAGAAGTGCCTCAGCAGCAAGAGGTGGTACTTCTTGAAAGGGCTCAAAGTGATGGAACTTCTGAGAAAATAATATTTTCTTCTGCCGCAGATGTTGATGTATATGAGCTACAGGCCTTATGTGATAAGGTAAAAATTATATAGCGTTACTTGAATGTAAAACCTGTGAATTGTCTCTTCCTTCTCAAATCAGCAAGAATATGCATGGTCTGAACTTTAAATGCTTCGTTTGCTCTTTTTTTTTCTCTTTAAGATATAGAAGGAAGTCATTCTATGTATTTTCAGTGATATTAACTGTAGTCATCTTATATCCTAAAAGATCCAACACCACAATCATTAACCTCATCCCATCCATTTGAGTAGGGTTTGAGTTCTACTTTTCAGTTCATTTATTGCGAGTGTTAATGTGATGTTAATTTTAGTTTACACAAGGTTTTTTTCCTTAAATTTTTGCCATGCTATGTTTAAATTGCATGTTCTTATATTCCATTCGTATTATTTGTTTGTCATCAGTTTACTGGTGAATTTATGACCCCTTATCATATATTCTCAGAGCGCTTAATTTTTTTTTACAATCTTATTTCAATTATGTTATAATCCATCTCTTGTTTAATTATAACTGTTTCTCACACTTTTCGTCCAATTTTATGATGAATATTGATAACAAAAATTTCCTTAATTGATTAATAATCCCTTATCCCAATCATCATATCAACGTGTAGGCTAATAGATGTAACTATACTCATGTCATCACCGTCATCATTATGGGCTTTGAAAATCCAAAGAGTATATTAGTTTCGTGAGTGCAGAAGTATTTTTATCCGAGATAATCTTGGTAAATATATGGAGTATCTTTGATATGTATAGCTACATTATGGTTCATCTATTGTAATAATTTCATCGATACATATAGCTCCTTATATATTTTCTTGGGAGTTATATTTATTTTGATTTGTCCATCCTAAAATATTTGGATTGGAACAAAATTTTTCGAAGTTACAACATTCAGCAAGAATAGCTGCAGTAGCTATGTTGCTATTAAGAATTTGTTGATTTTGAATTATTCTGAGACCTAATTCATGAATGTTAGAAGTACTTTCTGTGCTTTACAATTTTTTATTTCTAGATTGAATTATTTTGTTGAAGAGTTTAATTTTTTGCTAACTGGTTTTGGTTTAATTCCATAGATTAACGAATCCATTAGATATAATTTCAGAGTATAATCCTAATTCAAATTATTGTTTTAAAATCATATAAATTAATATAATTCATTCATTTGAATTTCCTAACGGAGATTTGATATGAAAAATTTGTTCATTTTGAAAGACTTCTAATTGTTTATTTTTTATATTTATTTGGAGTAATTCACAAATTCTGTTAAATTCTTTTTCGAGATAGAATTTATTCAATATTTAATTTGTCAGAAATATTTTCTCTAAGTTCTTCTAAGAGTAATTGCCTTTTTAACTCTTTTTCTTCTCTCATTTGAGATTCGTAAGAAGAAAAATTAGATGCATAAGTCCATGAAGATGTGCAGAAGAAATTAATATGTTTTGGACATATATATATGTAGCAGTCTGCTGATCGTCAGACTCTGATACCATTTTTGAGGCCTTTGATGATCTAGATGCTTTAGATAATTTTTTAACATTTGTTTTTTCTAATAATAAATTATATTTTAGTTTATATTTTAATTTTTCAATCTCTCTAATATCATTTTTAATTTTTTTCTTTAGATTTTTTATTCCTATTTCTAACTTATTTATATCATCTTCCATAGTTAACAAATTCTTCTTACTCATCTGTCTTTTATATGATTTAAAATAGTCGAGTTCATTATGCTTCCTATTAAGAGTTTAACATAATATTATTTTACTTTGATTCTTTCTATTCGAGGGTTTGACCTTAAAATCTCAGGTTCATTTTATACTTTTTTTCGTGGATTTTTGAAAAAAATTAGGGTTTGACAAGTTCATTCAAATCTTTAACAGACCACAACCTTTTATATATATATATATATATATATATACTTCAGAGATTCAAAGCAAAGCATTACTTCGTTTCTCACACTAAGCATAACTAGAAGAGGTAAAATCAAATTAACATGGTAATATTTAAACAAACTGTACTAACACACATAATAAACATAAACGCGCTCGCTTACACAAAAACTTAAAGAAGAACAAGAAGAACAAGAAGAAGAAATGCTAAATCCGCTCTGCCTCAAAGAAGATAAATGAGAGAAATATATAGACTAGAGAGAAATACATTTCCGTCACTGATGACACATTTGATAAGTGGAGGTAATAATTGATATACTAATATCAATCAAACCTTGCAAAATAAAAAATAACAGCTCTAAGCATTTGTAATATTTGCTATCAAAAGTTCTTTTATGACATCTTATCAGATGACAAAATATTATATCTAGATATGTATTTTTACAAATTACTTACCATACAATATTTTATGTTGATTATGTTGATTCTAGGACCATTTTTGGATGATTTGCTCATTTGTTTGATTAAAGATAATCATTTGAGTTATTTGTAGATTTAGAACAATAGTTTAAAATTGTTCTTTAGTTTATCTTTACAGATGAAAACATGTGTGCAAATATGTTTCGCAAATCAAAATTCATAAGATAAACAAATCATATTATTAAATATATCATTTATGTTGATTGACTTGACCTATAACTAACGAGGTTGGACAGCCTTGATAGAAAATGAAACATGGAATATGGTTTTGTCCTCCCTGACTAAATCGTGTAACCAGAGAAGTATGCCAGCATCAATGGAGTCACTAAGTAGAAGGAGCTGTCCACGCTTAGCTAAGTTACATTTTTTGGTTCTTTTGAAGCCAACTAGATAACCATATAATTCAAGGATTTGCCCATATTTTGATTGAAATTAATATGGATTCATAGAGTTTGTGGATGAAGGTAAATACTTTCACAGTAATAGTGTTAATTTCCTGCAACAAAAATTCAAAAAATACCAAACACACACAAATTCCTTCCTGTACCTTCTGCAGATTTGTAGCATATATTTTCCTTCAATTTCTGGTAAAAAGTTCAGGTCTTTCGGCATTTTTTTTTTCTGTAAATCGTATGCTGTAACAGTGTTGAAGTAAAACTTTGTCTGGATAGGTTGGATGGCCTCGTAGACCATTAACGAAAGTGGTAGCATCTTTGAGGAATAGCTACATGGTTGCTACCTTGCATTCAATAACTACATCTCATGGTTAGGATAATTCAACGCTCAGTCAATTTTTTGTAGTTATTTGCTAATGTTGAACTGTTTATCTTTTATCTTTGAAATTAGGAAAAACAAACAAATCTATTTATCTTATATTGTATTCATTCAGGACAATTTGTGTTTGCTACTCATTTTATAAAGCAAAGAACATCTTAGCATACTTATAAAAGCTTTCTAACAGAGGGAGAAGAGAGAAAACAACTCATAGGCATGGCTCGTGCCACATCTGATCATGCCTTTAATGCTACAATTTGGGATGTCCTCGTCGATCCTTCCTATCAGGTTAGAGAAATTTTGCTTGGTGCTTTATGGGCACTTAAACTTCTTGGTTAATTTAGCAAAATTTTGGCCATATTATTGTATTGTCTGTGAGCAAAAGATTTAGGACTTGTTTGTGATTAATTTTATATTTTATTTTTATTTTTTCCTATGTTTTTATAAACAGATTTTCTTAGTTTGTTCTTACATGTTCTAATTTTTTGCTCTAAAAATAAATTAATATTTTTCAGAAAATACTCAATACAACTTTCATTTCTAATTTTTTGTTTTAAAAATTAATCGTAATCAAACATGTTTTCTTTCAAATGAAAATATAAATATAATAAAATTTTAAAAAAAATAGAAAACATAGTTACATAAGACAATAGTGATCCCAGATCTTAATGTTTCACTCTTGTAAGATTTTGTTGTTCTATAGGGCCAGGGTCTTGGAAAGGCACTTGTTGAACAGATAATACGAGCATTACTACGGCAGGATATCGGCAACATCACATTATTTGCAGATAACAAAGGTGTGTCTATTCATTCCCTTCTCAGGATTAACTTTTAGATTCAATATATTTGAAGCATGATGAGATATGAAATTTACCTTTGTGTTGTTGGCATCACCATCATCTGCATTTAATGAACGATTGAGCATATGATTTATGGATTTGTAGTGGCTAATTAAATCATCCTGGGGGCTTTCATGATCACTTTTTTGTGTTTTAAAAATTAGTTTGGCCATTGATTAAGCATTTTTAAATTTATTATTAATAAACAGCCTTGATAGCATGCTACTTAGTTTGTGTAGAAGAAGTTACTTATATTTGATTTAACGTTTTGGTGTGATTTTATATTGAAAGTTTTTTTCTTTTTTTTTTTTTTGAAAATAATTGTTAATCAACGATGATTATTTGCCATCTTCTTAGATCACCTTTGCTTTCTCTTTTCTTCTATGCTACTTGGCTTGTAAAAGAGTGATTAAAAATTCACAAAGTTTGTTTTTCGATGGAGTTCTAGTGGTATAGATCTATACAACTGAGCTTGTTTTTTGTATTAATGACTTTGAAATTAAAATCTTCTTTTTCCAATTCTCTCAGTTTGTGCACATGCACATGTAAAGATATATGGTGTCACAACCCAACTTGAGAGCTTGGAATACCAATGTTGGATTAGTCAGTAGGATTATAATTTGATTTTCTTTTGTTAACATTATAACTAATAAGACAATGACATTTTCAATAAATTTTGTTCAAATATAAATCAAGCATAAATCAGTTTTGTCTCTTACATTCTAAACAAAATAACTGAAAACAAATACATATCATCTTTAAAAAACTATTCTCTTAGGCTGATATTATCGTGAATGCAAGTTCTCTTCTTTCAACCATTTAATTTAAAGATTTTTCCTTTTTTGAAAATGAATATCAACTAATGTGTTGAGTTAGAGAATAGAAATTCTATGCATATAAATCATCATGAGTAAATGTTTACAATTCTTTTTATCATGAACTTAATACATACATATTTGTAATCTATTCAAGAAGAGAAAAGAGTCACGACCCGACCTGATAGTTTAGAATTAACCGAATCAGAAATTGCGGTTGGATGATATGAAGTTTTTTTTTAATACAATAAAGCATCATAACTTCCAATAATTGAAAGAACCATTAAAAAAATCATTAAGTACACTAAACAATAATTAAATTCAACTAAAACAACAGCATAGTCTGAAGTTAAAGTAATATCGCAATCCAACCAACAACAGTACAACGTTACTCGAAAAGTAATAATATAAAAAGTTGGTACCATAATAAACAATCTACTACCTAATGTCGGAAGTCATTCTCTTTAAAACAAATAATAGACTAATAGTAATATATTATTATTATTATTAATTTTTATATATTATATGTTTATAGGATTTAATTTTTTAAAATATGATGATTTCCATTTTAAAAAATTTAATGAAATATACTTTATAATATTTAATTTTAGCGGTTGTGTCATTCGAATAAACTTACTGTCTTATTGAGGTGTTATTACTGTGTTATTGTAGTGTTATTTAGGTGTTGTTCGAGTGTTATTCCGGTGTTGCTTGAGGTAACCCGCGGTATTATTAGAGTGTTATTCTTGTGTTGTTTGAGGTAACCCGCAGTGTTGTTGGCGTATTTGTGCGGGGTGTTATTCAAGTTAATTTGCAGTATTATTGAGGTGTTATTGATGTATTATTGCGGTGTTATTTGAGATAAGTCGCGATATTATTGACGTGTTTTCGGTTGTGGTGTTATTCGAGTAAATTTGAGGTGTTATTGCCGCCAAAAACACGTAAATAACACAGCTGCCGCAAATAACATTTTGTTAGTCGAAGCATCGAGGTGGTTCAGGTCGGATCAGACGATTAAATTTGGGTGGTATTTATGTAATATATTTGTTTATATAAGTAATAAACTAATATTAATATATTATTATTATTAATTTCTTATATATTAGCAATTTATAGAATTTAATTTTTTTAATATGATAATTTTTTATTTAAAAAAATTTAATTAATTAAACTTTGTAATATTTAATTTTTGCAGCATGTATTGTAATATTTATGTGTTTTTCGAAGGACTTCGTGGGATTCAATAATGTTGATGGGAAAAGAAAACGACGAAAAGTTGCTTTTTGGAAGCTTGGGAGAGTTCGGGGCGGGTCACATGTTTTGAAAATGTTTTTTTTTTACCTGTGGGACCCATATTTACATGCAAATTTGCGTCTGATGTCCGAGCCGAATAATTGGAGTGATTTTTGCGTATGTTGTCTTGATACACTTGATTGCGACATATTTTTTTCTCTGTAACAGTCGGGAAAAAATATTACATCAGTACTATGCATGTAGAGTAACGTGCGTAGTTAATGAAATCACGTCACGACACTCCACGCGATAGAGAAAAAAAAACGGCGCAGTAACACTAGGAATATTCCTCCCCCTCCCCCCACCCCCCGTGTTATTTATGTGTTATTGTGTATTATTCATGTTGGTATTATAATAACACAATAACACATGAATAACACACAATAACACATGAATAACACAGGAGGGAATATTCTCCCATATTACCGCTTTATTTTTTTCCTTGTCAGGAATATTCTCCCGTGTTATTATAGTGTTATTGTGTGTTATTCATGTGTTATTGTGTCCTAAGAATATTCTTGGTGTTCCAATAACACAATAACACATCAGTAACACATGAATATTCTTCTTCATGGATGAATCATCATGATACAATCAAATCAAGATGGCTCCTGAAGATGCAACCCTCACAGCCTTTAGAACACCAATTAGAATTTTCTGCTACACAGTTACGTCATTTGGATTAAAGAACTCTGGAGCAACATATCAACGAGCAATGACGAAGATTTTTAACGACCTCATCTATAATTAAGTGGAATGTTACGTGGATGATTTGGTCATCAAAAGTAAATAGAAAATAAACCATTTGTATGATTTGTGGATCGTGTTCGAACGATTACGACAATACAATCTCAAGATGAATCCCTTAAAGTATGCCTTTGGCGTTACATCCGGGAAATTTCTAGGATTCGTTGTCCGTCATCGGGGAATCGAAATCGACCCGGAGAAGATTAAAGCTATGTTGGAAATGTTTCATCCTAAAACTTTAAAGCAGCTACGTTCCTTCCAAGGGAAGTTGACATATCTGAGACGCTATATTTTTAATCTCTCATGTAGGTGTCAGCCCTTTGTAGGTGTCACTCTCATGTAGGTGTCAGCCCTTCTCGGCATTAATTAAAAATGACGTCAAATGAGTTTGGGAAGAGAAATGTCAGCGGGCTTTCGAGGACGTTAAACAATATTTAATGACACCTTCTGTTTTGACAGCCCCTATCTCAGACAGCCTCTATCTCAGGGAAACTGTTGATACTTTATACCGCGGCCTTAGACGACTCTCTCGGAGCCCTGTTAGCTCAGGTCCTACTGCTTAAGTCAACGTCTAATACCGACTGAAGTAAAATATCCGTCTATCGAGAAGCATTGTCTAGCTTTGATTTCGCCGCTCAAAAGCTTAGACACTACATGTTTTCTCATAGGATAACTCTGATTTCGAAAGTCAATCTGTTGTAATATTTGATGACCCGACCAACACTTTTCGAACGTTTAACGAGGTGTTCAATGACTTTATTGCAATTTGATATAACTTTTGTTCCCCTCCGCGCTACCAAAGAACAAATTTTAGCAGACTTTCTCGCTGCGCACTCACTTCCACTAGGTCTCCGCTCAATGATGAGTTACCAGATGAACAACTATTACAAATAGAATTCTCCAGTGCGCAACGCTGGGAGATGTACTTTGACGATTCTTCGTCAGCCAAAAAAGACAAAGGATCAAGCACAGTTTATACAAGGCAAGTCAGGGATTGGGTTGGTCTTCATCACACCAGATATGGCTATGCTAAGATTCTCCTACCACTTGATAGAGTCGTGCACCAACAACGAGGCTGAGTATGAAGCCTTGATCATTGGATTAGAATTGACAATCCCAATGGATATAACTGATATCGCCATATACGGTGACTCTCAGCTTATCCTTCAGTAAATCGTCGGGCAATACAGGATCTTGAAGCCAAGATTGGCAGAATACCATCAGTATGCAATGAAGTTACTGGAACAGATTCCTGATTCCTAGTGTGACTTTCTATCGAATTCCTCGGGTAGATAATGGCATGCCGACGCTCTAGCAAAACTCGCTAAGGAATTGACATGTCCCCCGGAGGATTCCAAAGGATTCCATAAAAATTACAGTACGATGAAGACAATTTTTGTCTCAGATCGACCTGGAGACTCTACACAAACTTGGGAAAGAGAAGACAATAAATACAGTTGTCGATATCAACGAAGATTTGCGTAAACCATTTATAGAATATTTGCAAACTATAAGATTACCCGAGGACAAGTCAGCTGCATATCACATCACGAGAAGAGTCATGTCGTACGCTCTAATTGGTGACGTTCTCTACAGGAGATTGTTCGATCAAATGTGATTGCGGTGTCTTAGCAGACCAGAAGCACAAAATATCGTTAAAGAGATACATGTCGGATTGTGTGGTGCTCACCAGTCTGGGCCCAAGATGAAAATGAAGATTAAGAGACTCGGATATTATTGGTCAACAATGATGTCTGGACATAGCCAGAAAGTGTCACCAGTGCCAAGTGCATGGGGTGTTCTTACACCAACCTCCGGATGTGCTACACCCAACTGTTGCTTTGTTGTCATTTGAGTGTTGGGATACAGACATAATAGGATCGATAGACCCTCCATCCTCTAAGGGACACAAATTTATCCTCGCAGCTACAGATTACTTCTCTAAATTTACTTCTCTAAATGGGCAAAATGGGCAAAGGCAGTGCCGCTACGAGAGGTTACAGCACAGCAGGTTCTTCAATTTTTCAAGAGTCATATTGTTTATTGTTTCTGTGTACCACGCAGAGTAATCTCCAATAATGAGACAGCGTTCAAAAGTACCAA